TTTCTCGATAAAGATGAGCCTACTTGAAATATTTGTCTTGGTATCAAGTATAGAAACCAATAAAGATGAGCCAGTATTTTCTACCCCACCAATATTCAAGTTCATCAATTCCCTACACCTACATACGTCTGCGACTCCCAACCTACAATAAATCAAAATTTATACCTAATATTGTCAGGAAAATGAAAGCTTAGCTGAATCATCAAATACTGTCCATCAGGAGCATTTGTCTGAAATTCTTCAATATTTCTCCTTTTTCTTTGCTTTGTATCCTTTACAAAATATGACAATATGACTTCCTCATTGATTGCTCATACTTTCCATTTTTCGCTCCACGTGTTAAATTCAACAAATGCTTTTTAGTGATGTTTTTTAGATTTCGACCTCTCCAAGTTCTTTTCGAGACTAGTACCATTTCTCCGCAGCTATTTTTAGGATTTTTGAAATAAATATTTATTTAACTAACCTTAAAGCAAGTATTTCGAAATTCTTAAAAATAAGTTTTCGAATGAGCTCTTCACGATCTGTCTCAGAATTTTTTGGGGATTTTTAGGCCATTTTTTTAAAAGCACAAGTTTTCAATACTTCCTTTTGAAAATTGCGATCTTTTCGAATATCTTCAAAAATTACTTACAGAGATATTTTGGTAGATTTCGACTTCTTGAAGTTATTTTTGGCTTCGTTTCTTTAAAAATTCCTACCATTTCTCCAGGATTGCCAATATAAAATATGTATGTGAATTTTTAGGATTTTTTTTATGTACTATTTAACTATGAAACCCAACATTTCGAAATTCTTAAAAATATATTTTAAAAATCAAATCGTCGCGATCTGTGTACCAGAATTTTTTGTGGATTTTTACGCAACTTTGTCGATAACTCAATTTTTCAATATTCCTTCCTTTTGATAATTTCGACCTTTTTTCGGTCACCTTCACAAATTACCTACAAAGATTTTTGTGAAGGTACAATTAAACCTCTCGAAGTTTTTCTCATTTTCATTTCGTCGAAAATTCAGCCATTTCTCCAAAATCGTCATTAGTGAAATTTTTTTATGATTTTTAAAAAGTACAACCTTCAAATCAAATATTTCGAAAATCTTGGTCCGAGCCTTTGTTTTCGGATCAGGTACTCTCCTTTTTGAAAAATTCGATCTCTTTTCGACCACCTTCGAAAGTTATTTTCTACTTCATTTCTTCGAAAATCCGTACTATTGTTCCAGAATCACCAATTTAAACTACAGAATTATTATTTTTTAATTTGACTTTCATACCGAATATTTCGAAAATTTTGGTGTGACCCCATAAATATGCCATATTTTTCGAATCAGTGTTTGAGTTGTATATCCCATAATTTTTTGTGAATTTTTAGGGCATTTTTCAATAGCTCAATTTTTAAATACATACTCCCCAATATGAATTTTTTTACATTTGCTTGAGCACTTTCGAAAATTACCTACAGGGATTTGTTTGTAGATTTCGACTTCTCGAATTTATTTTCGGTTTCAGTTCGAAAATGTTGATCCGATGCCATAACTGTGCTATGTTTTTCGAATCAGCTTCTCGAGATTTTGTTGTGAATTTTTATGCAACTGTTTCAAACTCAATTTTTCAATACTTTTCCCATTTTGAAAATTTCGACATGTTTCTAAAACTTATTGTTGTCTTCATTTCTTCGAAAATCTGAAAATTTCAATTAGGATTTAAAAAATTTGGACTTTCTAACCGAATTTTTGAAAATTTTTGTCTCGAACCGCCAACACTCTATTTTTCAAAAATTTAGGTTTTCAGTAGGTACAAAACACAAAATTAGACTTTTTTTCGATCACTTTCAGAAGTTAAGTACTTACAGATATTTTTTTACAGATACTGATTTCTAGAAGTTGTTTTCGGTTTCATTTTTTCGAAAATCCGTTTTGCCATATTCGGGAATATACTTAAAATGTGGCGATTTTTAGGAATAAAGATAATATATTTTTATACTGAATATATCTGAAAATCTCGGTCCGAGGTTATAAACATGCTATGTTTTTCGAATTAGATCGTCGAGATCTACTTCTCAGAATTTTTTCTGTATTTTAAGTAACTTTTAGGCAACGTTCTGAAAAGCTCAAATTTTCAGTACTAAACAATTTTGAAAGTTTCGATCACTTGCGAAAATGACCTACAGAAATTTTTTTATAGATTTCGACTTGTAGAATTCATTTTCGGTGTCATTTCTTCGAAAATTCATTCTTCCAGAATAGCCAATATAACATACATAATTTTTAGGATTAAAAAAAAATTACTTTCAAACCGAATCTTCGAAACCCTCGGTCCAAGGCCAAAAACACCGTGTTTTTTGAATCACTTCGTCGAAATCAGTTTGTGTTCCAGAATTTTTTTTTTTTTTGATGTTTAAGCAACCTATTCCTAAACTCATTTATTCAGTACTCCCCCTTCTTAAAATTCTCTCCTTTTTTCGTCCGCATTCGAAAATCACCTGGAGGGATTTTTTTGTGGAGTTTGGTATCTGGAAGTTTTTTTAGCTTCATTTCAGTTCGAAAATTACCAAAACTCCTAGCGTCTTTCCAAAATCGCCAATATAAATAAAATATTAAGGATTAGAGGATTAAAAAAAATACTTTTAAAGCGAGAATTTCAAAAAACTATTTCAAATACTCAATTTTTCAATCCGCCCCTCTACGTCAAACTTTTTACTTTTTTTCATTTTTGGAAAATTACCGAAACATATTTTTTGTAAACTTCGACATATGAAGTTATTTTCAGTTTCATTTCTTCGAAAAGTCGTATAAATTCTAGTATTAAAAAAAATGACTTTGAAACCGAATTTTTCGAAAATCTTGGTCCGACTCCATAAACACACCATGTTTTTTGATTTACTTCAATTTTTCACTATGAACTTTTTGACCGACTCTTTTTCGAGCATCGTCAACGTCTTTTTTCTATTATAGAACTCCAGAAGTTGTTTTTTTTTAATTCTTATTTTGTCAAGCAATTTTTATAATCTTTAAAAATTTGGCTTTCAAACGGAATATTTCGAAAATCTTAGTCGCAGACCATCAAAACGAACAGCATCTAAGAACTAAATGAAGATTAAGAGTAGATAAAAGTGGTTCTGAAGAGTTTCTTTTTTAATTGACTGACACTAATTGTCCCTTTACGACAGACAACAAAGATTGTTTTGTAGGATACCAAAAGAGGGCAATATTATTCAAAGAATAGTTTTACGGTGTGCATTACCATTAACCATTAGGTATACCATTAGTAAAAAATATCTTTTCACAATATTTTATGGGTCCAAGACAAAAATAATTCTTGTTAGAAATACTCGTAGATACACAATTTTCTTGATATTATTTGCGTCCTCTCAAAAAAACTAAAGTTTCCTGTTTGTTCTTCTGCTGAAGTACTGAAGGAATGTTGCTGTCATAGGACTTCAAAATATTTTTTCTTTTGTAGTCCTATGACAATCTCATTTTTTATTAGTTTTGCTCAACTAACAAGTAACAACATTTCTATTTTATTTTCATTTATAATTGCAACTGTGACTCAAGATTTTATCAACAGCCTCTAAAATTTGCAAATTATTCTTCATAAAATCATTGGTAAAACCTATTATAAATCGATACTTTCTAAAGAACTTTTAGAATATTTTCTCCCAATCGAAGAAAAAAATTTGAAAATTTGAACTGGACATAGAAAATAAATTAAATAAAACGTAAAGTTGTTATCCGAAAAGTGGGGCTAAATCTGAATTTCAACACGGTATTTCTGTCGTAGGGCGCTGAATTTATTATTTATGATGGTAGACTGTGTGGTTTCTAAAATCAATTGCAAAATATTATTGTAAGTATTCATTTGCACAAAGTTAGAAACAGGACTTTTACTCTATCAAAATATTTACCTGTTGTTTTTAAAATTGTCCACGCATTTAGTTTTTAAAGATTACTAATTTATTGTTCATTTACTATGACTATGAATATAGTATCTTCATCTGTAGTACCATATGAATTAGTGTCTAGGAAACCATATTAAGAAATATGGTGTTTTTTGTTCACAAGAGTGAACAAAAAAAAAAACTTAGTCCGGAATTGGGCATATAACAATATATGCCAGAGTTAAATTTACAAATCCCAAAGATGAAAAAAATTATAGAATGAAAATAATTTGGCAACATTAACTTTTTTCATTTTCGCAATGTATTTTTTATTTTTTTCGAAATAAACCTTTTTGTTTTTATACGTATTTATTACATTATTTTGATATTTATCACAAAACTACAAGTATCCTAAGAAAGAATGTGTGAACTGTGCTAGTAATAAATTAAAACCTGAAACAAATCATTACGTTTATACATAGATTAAAGATAAATTTCTTTCTTTTATTTTTGTGATTCACGATGGTACGATTTGAGCAAAGTAGTGTGTAGTACATTGCGTACACGAATCAATGTTTAAATTTTCATGATGTGATTGTGATCCTTTTTAAATTGCGTGGCGACATCTAGAAATATTTTAGGCAACGACCACCGATGACGACTTAAAATTCGGGTCGGAAACATCCAAGGCGCCGACACGAGTTATTCGTATTCATCGTATTGAAGGATTTCTATGTTGTGATTCAGTGTTGAGCTCGTCTTATTAAACTGTCTAAAATCCAGAGATATGTAAAAGACTAGATACAGACATTTAATGTTCTCGTGGACATACGTTTAGGGCCAAGATGTCACTGTACGTTTATATCTCCCTCTTTTTCTCTAGCACGTATAAAGGTAACCCGATATCTGAAGGTCTCGCTCTGTACGGCGCAACCAATCAGTTGGCGCAACGTTTGTCGTTGATGCCGTTCTTGTGTTTGTGCCGGTCCCTGTCAGACCACTCAGACTGTGGGTGGTTATGATTATTTATAATTGCCGCCATTAGAACGGGCCAATAACAAGACAACCACCTTTTAGAGAGTGATCGATGTAGCCTACACTTGGCATTCCATAGTACTGGTGCTGATATAGAAAAGGATAGGCGACACAAAGTATTGCTACTCTTAGATCATAGATGTTGGCCCTAGATCGGGAAAGCTATAACCGCATCTGTCTTTTACATATCTCTGGTAAAATCTAAACAAAATGCTGGAAAGTGACGAGACTGTGACTATTACAGACACCACCGAGTTACTCGGAGATGTCACATCTCTCTACCTCAACCAGAAATTTTCTGATATTACGTTGCTAGTCGATGACCAAAAGCTATACGCTCACAAGGTTAGTTTACAATTACTTGGTATGAGTTACCAAAAATGTATTAGAAGAAATTTCACCACGAAAGGTGACAGGGGCGGGGCTCAAGGTGCGCAACTTGTAGTCTGGCTAGCAGTGGCGTAACATCGATGTATTGAGAAGGGAGGCTCGGCTGTGTTTTATTTCTTTTAAAGACAATTAAAAAAAGAACATGTACAAAAAAAAATAGAGACAACCATATAATACAAATAAATTTGTTTGATAAAAAATCGTTCAAAAATAAAAATAAAAATGTTATCAGGTATTGAAATGAAAATTGGCGAATGATTTTCTCAAAATTTTCGTCTAATTAGTGACTTTCGGTACAGGTTTTATTTTTATCAGTGTAGAGAAGCTTGATTTTTCTTCAGAATTGACTTTTCCTTGCTCTTTTGCAATGCTGTGATATGCGTTTATCTAAATTCCAGTAGCCACCCTGACACGTTCTCTATAATTTGCTATGGGAATTGTAGTTCCTTCTTCAGTTTCTTATTTCATGAAATGCATGATCCCTGCCATTATTTCTCTATTTTGAAAATGAAGGGGTTTTGCTAGTTTTTGAAGTGAACATCTTCACTTAATTTAAAATCCAAAAAAGGCAGTAACGTACTGTAAATTGACGGTTTTTTTTTCAAAACACTTTATTTTGTAATACAACAAATTACAACACTTTATATTTACCAAAAAAAGAACAGAAGTCAAATTATCTTGTAAAAGACAGATTTCTTAAAAACGAACTTCCAAAACACAAACGACCAACAAAGCAAAAACACAACGAAACGCGGGAAAGCAGTCAACAAGCACGAGACAAAGGAAGATAAATGTAGACAAGAAAAGACGAGACGAGACAAGAAAAGGAGAAGACGGGCAATGAGACGTTAAATTATTTGGACAGTTTCTTTTATTGTCAATAGGATTCCTATTTCTTGAAAATAGTTACGTGATTTTGACTTTGTTGGTGTTTTCTGTTTTAAACAACAATTTTATTCATTTCATATTATTATAGGGCATTAACAAATCTTTAAATTCGCTTTCTATAACGTGTTGTGAAATATCCTGTTTAATTGGGGTTGCTGCGGCAGCATGTGCAAGCGTTGTTAGAAGGAAGCGAGTCCGAAGTCAAGCTGAGTTGCATTTCCTTTTCCGCGATTGCTAAGTATCGACTCAATCAAAATTAAGGAGGTCATGTCATTACTCCGCAACTATGGCCGGTCACATGACTATAGTTGTCAATATATAACTTTTGGCTCGCACCTGAAGAAGTTGTTGTATTAGTTGTATTTGTATTTGTAGTTGAAGAAGTAGTTGTAGTTGTAGCAGACAAGGGATAATTGTAACCAACACCCGTACCAGCGACATTTCCTTCTAATAAATTTGGTATACTGCCCAATCTGTTTGAATTGCCAACCCCTACGCGCAACAAACGTCAACGCTAATAAAATATTAGAAAACTGGTATTCTTATTAACGCCAACAATATTTTAATATTTCAAAGTATGTAATAATATTTTGAATACCTCTCGGATTATACTCAGTATGTTTTTAAATTTTCATCCCCGCTGCCACTGCTTTCACGACATCCGTAAGACCAAACCAAAACTGTGTTTGGCGCACTTCCACCTGCTGGACCCTTTCGTGGTGAAACCTACTCCACACTTTAGGTGATTCTGGCCGTGAGGAGTAAATACTTTGAGTCTATACTTTACGAAGATCCGCAAAACACAAACCAGGTAAAAGATTTGAGAATTTTTTGCAAAATAATCTTACACAAAAATTTTAGACCGAAATAACAATAACCGATATGCCTTTTGACGCTTTACGTGGTCTATTAAAATACATTTATACAGGTGAGCCATCAGTTTTTACAACAGAACCAGATTCATGGATAAATTTCAGATACCATCGATGTCGATTCAACACCTCAGATATTTGAATTTGCCCATCAACATTCATTAACAGATTTACAAACTACCATCGTTAAAAAACTAAAACCCCTTCTAAATTTGAAAAATATTTGCGCCGTCCTCAACACTGCCAATCTCTACAATTTAGAAGAACTGCTCGTAGCCTGCTATTCTTTCATGGACGTTTACGCACCTGAAGTCGTCACCAGTGACTGTTTCACCGACCTGTCCCAAGTAAAACCAAAGTACAGTATAACCTCGATAATCCGAATTAATTGGGGAAAAGGTGTGTCGGATTAGCGATTTGTTAGAATCCGCGAATTTCCCAAAAATCTGAAAGGGAATTGAATAACAACTTCATACACTGGTGAAAAGAAACTTCAAGAAATAAACCTTAATTTTATTAAACAGGAATAAAGTAATTTTAAGCAACAATGGATAATTGATACATTCGAAAAAAATATTATTCCGTGACCATAAACACGCTATATTTTTGTAATCAACACGTAGGGATTTATTTATATTCCTGAATTTTTTGAGAATGTTTATATGAAATTTTCCATTATGTATTCGTATTACCGCCTTATGCAAATTTCGACCCATTCTCGACGATTTTCGAAATTTAAGTAAATACTAAGGTTCTTGTAGATTTTGGGCCGCAGAAATAACTTCTGGCTTCATTCATTTCTTCGATAACCTAAACCGTTTTCCAGAATCGTCTATTGAAATATACAAATTGTAAAAATTAAAAGGAAAATCGAATTTCACACCGAATTTTCCGAAAATATTGCCCCGTTACCATAAGCATACTATATTTTTGGAATCAGCACGTCGGGATATATATTCCTGAATTTTTTCAGAACTTTTACAACTTTTTCAAAAATGAAATTTTCCCTCATGCAAAGTTCGACCCATTTTGGACAATTTTCGAAATTTAATACTTTTTCTTCGATAACTTCCCTTTTTTCCAGAATTCTTTGATTCAGTGCATTGAAATATCGCAAATTTTAAAAATTTCAAAAAATTCGATGCAACCTGTGTACAAAGAAGATCTTGTGTCATTTTTGCAAGTAGGTACATGGTGCATGTTTTCAAGTTCAGTTCGGATTATAGAGTTTTTGTTCGGATTAAAGAGACATCAACTTCAACTAGCCTCTGGTAGGATTACTGGATATTCGGATAATCGTGGGTTCGGATCATAGAGGTCATACTGTAGTGTTAATATTTACACACGTTATACTTTTGTTACAGAAATCGATGATTCAACTTTTACAACGCAATAGTTTTACTGCTCCTGAAATCGAAATTTTCAAAAGCGTGACTAAGTGGTGCAAAATTAACAACGTTGTTGAAGATTTAGTTATACAGTGTGTTCGTTTATCGTGGATGACAGCCGAGGACATCGTAACTACAGTCTGGCCTTCGAAACTATTCGACTGTGAAAAGTTGTTACAGGCCATTGCCGAGATCGTGGGCGCCAAAACAAAAACTTCCCCTTCAAGAGGGTTCTATCGTAAGAATTTTTCTACAAATTCGGGATAAAAATAAAATGAGAGTTTTTAAGTTGTGGGTGAAAATCTAGCAACTGCTGAACACAACGCTGAAGTGATTCTTGGAAAAAATACATCTTGGTTGTTGACAGGCGATGGAAACATAAGAAGTAAATATGCATACCACGGTATAGACGGTAAAAGTGGAATTATTGTGAAGCTTGGTACTCCATGTTTTGTTAACCACTTCAAAATGAGACTATGGGACGGGGATACCCGGTACGTACTAAAATATTATTTACAGTTTTAAGAAAATTCGTTTTAGGTCTTATTCTTATTACATTTCGGTTTCTCTTGATCAGAAGAATTGGAGAAGAGTTATTGACTACAGTCGTATTAGGTGTGGTTCAGACCAGGTTCTGTTTTTCATTCAGCAGATGGCTCAGTATATAAAAATTGTAGGGACGCAAAATACAGCCAACGAAGTAAGAATATAAATAGTACTCAGGTCATTTATTTACTTTTAAATTAGGATTTTCACATCATATCTTTCGAAGCATATTTCAAAAGTGATATACCTACAATTAGAAATGGTATTATTTGCCCCAATTACAATGTTGCAACTTTAGACAAGAAAGCGATTATTATTTAAGGGTAAGCGAAAGAGTACATGTAGAATAATAATAATATATACGATCTGTGTACCAGAATTTTTGTGGATTTTTACGCAACTTTGTCGATAACTCAATTTTTCAATATTCCTTCCTTTTGATAATTTCGACCTTTCTTCGGTCACCTTCACAAATTCCCTACAAAGATTTTTGTGAAGGTACAATTAAACCTCTCCAAGTTTTTCTCATTTTCATTTCTCCAAAATCGTCATTAGTGAAATTTTTTTATGATTTTTAAAAAATACAACCTTCAAATCAAATATTTCGAAAATCTTGGTCCGAGCCTTTGTTTTCGAATCAGCTCTTCGAGATCTATATTCCACTATTTGTTCTGAATTTGAAGACAGCTTTGTTAAGTTCGATTTTTTAGTAGGTACTTTCCTTTTTGAAAAATTCGATCTCTTTTCGACCACCTTCGAAAAGAAGCTAAAGAAGTTTTTTTTTTATTTCGACCTCTACAAGTTATTTTCTACTTCATTTCTTCGAAAATCCGTACTATTTTTCCAGAATCACCAATTTAAACTACAGAATTATTATTTTTTAATTTGACTTTCAAATCGAATATTTCGAAAATCTTGGTGTGACCCCATAAATATGCCATATTTTTCGAATCAGTGTTTGAGTTGTATAAACCATAATTTTTTGTGAATTTTTAGGGCATTTTTCAATAGCTCAGTTTTTAAATACATACTCCCCAATATGAATTTTTTTACATTTGCTTGAGCACTTTCGAAAATTACCTACAGGGATTTGTTTGTAGGATTTCGACTTCTCGAATTTATTTTCGGCTTCAGTTCAGTAATACTTTTTATCACTTTTTAAAGTCGCCAACATAAAATGTGGCAATTTTGGAACAAAATTTGACTTTCATGCTGAATATTTCGAAAATCTCGATCCGAGACCATAACCATATTTTGTTTCTCGAATCTGCTTCTCGAGATTAATTGTGAATTTTTAGGCAACTTTTTCAAACTCAATTTTTCAATACCCTTCCCATTTTGAAAATGTCGACATTTTTTATCACCTTCGAAATTACCTACAATGATTTTTTGTAGATTTCAACCTCTAAAACTCATTGTTGTCTTCATTTCTTCGAAAATCTGACAATATCAATTTGGACTTTCTAACCGGATTTTTGAAAATTTTTGTCCCGAACCGCGAACACGCTATTTTTCAAAAATTTAGCTTTTCAGTAGGCACAAAATTTTGACTTTTTTTCAATCACCTTAAGAAGTTAAGTACATACAGATATTTTTTTACAGATACTGATTTCTAGAAGTTGTTTTCGGTTTCATTTTTTCGAAAATCCATTTTGCCATATTCGGCAATATACTTAAAATGTGTCAATTTTTAGGAATAAAAATAATATATTTTTACACTGAATATTCGAAAATCTCATTCTGAGGCTATGAACATGCTATGTTTTTCGAATTAGATCGTCGAGATCTATTTCTCAGATTTTTTCTGTATTTTAAGTAACTTTTAGGCAATTTTTTGCAAAGCTCAAATTTTCAATACCAAACAATTTTGAACATTTCGACCACTTGCGAAAATAACCTACAGAAGTTTTTTTTTAGGTTACGACTTGTAGAATTCATTTTCGGTGTCATTTCTTCGAAAATTCATTCTTCCAGAATCGCCAATATAACATACATAATTTTTAGGATTAAAAAAATGGCTTTCAAACCGAATCTTCAAAAATCTCGGTCCAAGGCCAAAAACATCGTGTTTTTTGAATCAGCTCGTCGAAATCAGTTTATGTTTCAGAATTATTTTTTTTTATGTTTAAGTAACTTCTTCCTAAACTCAATTACTGAATACTCATCCGCCTTCTTAAAATTCTCCCCATTTTTTGCCCACAATCGAAAATCACCTAGAGGGATTTTTTGTGGAGTTTGGAATCTGGAAGTTTTTTTAGCTTCATTTCAGTTCGAAAATTACTTAAACTCCTAGCGTCTTTCCAAAATCGCCAATATAAATTAAATATTAGGGATTAAAGGATTAAAAAAAAACCTTTTAAAGCGAGAGTTTCGAAAAACTATTTCAAATACTCATTTTTCAATCTCTCCCCCTCTACGTCAAACTCTTTAATTTTTTTCATTTTTGGAAAATTACCGAAACATATTTTTTGTAAACTTCGACATATGAAGTTATTTTCAGTTTCATTTCTTCGAAAAGTCGTATAAATTCTAGTATTAAAAAAAATGACTTTGAAACCCAATTTTTCGAAAATCTCCATAAACACACCATGTTTTTCGGTTTAGTTCAATTTTTCAGTATGAACTTTTTGACCGACTCTTTTTCGAGCATCGTCAACGTCTTTTTTTCTCTTACAGAACTCCAGAAGTTGTTTTTGTTTTTTTTTTAATTCTTATCATTTTGTCAAGCAATTTTTATAATCTTTAAAAATTTGGCTTTCAAACGGAATTATTCGAAAATCTTAGTCGCAGACCATCAAAACGAACAGTATCTAAGAACTAAATGAAGATAAAGAGAGGATAAAAGTAGTTTTGCAAAGTTTCTTTTTTAATTGACACTAATTGTCCGTTTACGACAGACAACAAAGATTGTTTTGTAGGATACCAAAAGATGGCAATATTATTCAAAGAATAGTTTTATGGTGTGCATTACCATTAACCATTAGGTATACCATCAGTAAAAAATACCTTTTCACAATATTTTATGGGTCCAAGACACATAATTCTTGAAATAGATGCACAGTTTTCTTGATGTTATTTGCGTCCTCTCAAAAAAAACTAAAGTTTCCTGTTTGTTCTTCCGTATTATTCACTTTTTTTTAGATAATTTTTTAACCACTTCTGGTTTTATTGATATATCTATAAATTAGAAATGTTTCCGTCACTTCAGACTTTCAGCAAAATCAAAAGCGCATATGAAATCTTCAAGGAAGATATTTTTCTTTCGTAGTCCTATGACATCTCATTTTTTATTATTTTTCCCGAATTAACAATTAACAACATTTCTATTTTCATTTATAATTGCTACTGTGACGCAAGATTTTATCAACAACCTCTAAAATTTGCAAAATATTCTTTATAAAACCTAATATAAATCGACACTTCCTGAAGAACTTTTAGAATATTCGTCCCTAATCGAAGAAAAAATTTTGAAAACTTGAACTGGACATAGAAAATAAATTAAATAAAACGTAAAGTTGTTATCCTAGAAGTGGGGCCAAATTTGAATTTCAACACGGTATTTCTGTTGTAGGGCGCTTAATTTATTATTTATTATGATAGACTGTGTGGTTTCTAAAATGAACTACAAAATGTTAGTGTTAGAAACTTTGTGCAAAGGAAAAAAAATATATCAAAATATTTATTTACCTGTTGTAATAATAGTAATTTGACATTAACTTTTTTCATTTTCGCATTGTATTTTTTTATTTTTTTCGAAATAAACCTTTTTGTTTTTATACGTATTTATTACATTATTTTGATATTCATGACAAAACTGCAAGTATTCTAAGAAAGAATGTGTGAATTGTGCGAGTAATAAATTAAAATCTGAAACAAATCATTACGTTTAAAGATTAAAGATAATTTTTTTTCTTTTCTTTTGTGATTCACGATGTTTAAATGTTCATATGAAGCGATTGTGATTCTTTTTAATTTGGGTGGCGACATCTAGAAATATTTTAGGCAACGACCACCGATGACGGCTTAAAATTCGGGTCAGGAACATACAAGGCGCCGATACGAGTGATTCGTACTGAATCATTTCTATACTGTGATTCAGTGTTGAGCCCGTCTTATTAAACTGTGTAAAATCTAAACAAAATGCTGGAAAGTGACGAGACTGTGACTGTTACAGACACCACCGAGTTACTCGGAGATGTCGCATCTCTCTACCTCAACCAGAAATTTTCTGATATTACGTTGCTCGTCGATGGTCAAAAGTTATACGCTCACAAGGTTAGTCTACAATTACTTGGTATGAGTTACCAAAAATGTATTAGAAGTAATTTCACCACGAAATGTGACAGGGACGGGGCTCAAGTTGTGCAACTTGTAGTCTGGCTAGCAGTGGCGTAACATCGATGTATTGAGAAGGGAGGCTCTGCTGAGTTATATTTCTTTTAAATACAATTTAAAAAAAGAACATATCCAAAAAAAAATAGAGACAATCATATAACAAAAATAAATTTGTTTGATAAAAAATAGATGAAAAATTTTCGTCTAATTAATGACTTTCGGTATAGGTTTTGTTTTTGTCGGTGTAGAGAAGCTTGATTTTTCCTCAGATTTGACTTTTCCTTGCTCTTTTACGATGCTGTGATACGCGTTTTTCGAAATTCTAGTAGCTGCCCTACAGTAAGTAAACATTTTCACTTGATTTAAAATCCAAAAAAGGCGGTAACGCACTGTAAATTGACGGATTTTTTTTCTCAGAAGACTTCTTATTTTGTAATATAACAAATTACGACACTTTATTTTTACCAAAAAAAAAGAACAGAAGCAAAATTGTCTTGAAAAAGACAGATCTCTTAAAAACGAACTTCCAAAACACAAAAACTCCAACAAAGCAAAAACACAACGAAACGCGGAAAAGCAGTCAACAAGCACGAGAGACAGGAAAATAAATGTAGACAAGAAGAAAAAGACGAGACGAGACAAGGAAAGTGAAGACAGGCAATGAGACGTTAACTTATTTGGACAGTTTCTTTTCTTTTCTATAGGATTCCTATTTCTGGAAAGTAGTTACGTGATTTTGACTTTGTTGGTGTTTTCGGTTTTAAACAACAATTTTATTCATTTTGTATCGTAATACGGCATTAACAAATCATTAAATTCGCTTTCTATAACGTCAACGCTAATAAAATAGAAACAATATTTTAATATTTCAAAGTAATAATATTTTGATTACCTCTCGGATTACATCCAGCATGTTTTTAAATTTTCAACACCGCTGCCACTGCTTTCACGATATCCGTAAGACCAAACCAAAACTGTGTTCGGCGCACTCCCACCTGCTGTACTCTTTCGTGGTGAAACCTACTCTACACACTTTAGGTGATTCTGGCCGTGAGGAGTAAATACTTTGAGTCTATACTTTACGAAGATCCGCAAAACACAAACCAGGTAACAGATTTGAGGATTTTTTGCAAAATAATCCTTACACAAAAATTTTAGACCGAAATAAGAATAACCAATATGCCTTTTGACGCTTTACGTGGTTTATTAAAATACATTTATACAGGTGGACCATCAGTTTTTACAACAGAACCAGATTCATGGATAAATTTCAGATACCATCGATGTCGATTCAATCCCTCAGATACTTGAATTTGCCCATCAACATTCATTAACAGACTTACAAACTACCATCGTAAAAAAACTAAAACCCCTTCTAAATTTGAAAAATATTTGCGCCGTCCTCAACACTGCCAATCTCTACGAGTTAGAAGAACTGCTCGAAGCCTGCTATTCTTTCATGGACGTTTACGCATCTGAAGTCGTCACTAGTGACTGTTTCACCGACCTGTCCCAAGTAAAACCAAAGTACAGTATGCCCTCGATAATCCGAATTAATTGGGGAAAAGGTGTGTTCGGATTAGCGATTTGTTAGAATCCGCGAATTTCCCAAAAATCTGAAAGGGAATTGAATAACAACTTCATACACTGGTGAAAAGAAACTTCAAGAAATAAACCTTAATTTTATTAAATAGGAATAAAGTATTCTTAAGCAACAATTGATAATTGATACATTCGAAAAAACTATTATTCCGTGACCATAAACACCCTATATTTTTGGAATCAACACGTAGGGATTTATATTCCTGAATTTTTTCAGAATTTTTATATGACTTTTTCAAAAATGAAATTTTTCATTATGTATTCGTATTACCTCCCTAAAGATTAAGGACAACTTTTACACAACTTCTACAAAAATGAAATTTTCCCTCATTTTTTCGACCCATTTTGGACAATTTTCCAAATTTCATACTTTTTCTTCGATAACTTCGCTTTTTTCCAGAATTCTTTAATTCAGTGCATTGAAATATCGCAAATTTTAAAAATTTCAAAAAATTCGATGCAACCTGTGTACAAAGAAAATCTTGTGTCATTTTTGCAAGTAGGTACATGGTGCACGTTTTCAAGTTCAGTTCGGATTATAGTATAGAGTTTTTGTTCGGATTAAAGAGACATCAACTTCAACTAGCCTCTGGTGGGATTACTGGATGTTCGGATAATCGTGGGTTCGGATTATAGAGGTCATACTGTAGTGTTAATATTTACACACGTTATACTTTTGTTACAGAAATCGATGATTCAACTTTTACAACGCAATAGTTTTATTGTTCCTGAAATCGAAATTTTCAAAAGCGTGGCTAAGTGGTGCAAAATTAACAACGATGTCGATGATTTAGTTATACAGTGTGTTCGTTTATCGTCGATGACTGTCGTGGACATAGTAACTACAGTCTGGCCTTCGAAACTATTCGACTGTGAAAAGTTGTTACAGGCCATTGCCGAGATCGATGAAACTTCCACTTCAAGAGGGTTCTATCGTAAGAATTTTTCTCCAAATTCGGGATAAAAATAAAATGAGAGTTTTTAAGTTTTGGGCGAAAATATAGCAACTGCTGAACACAACGCTGAAGTGATTCTTGGAAAAAATACATCTTGGTTGTTGACAGGCGATGGAAACATAGGAATGAAATATGCATACCACACTATAGACGGTAAAAGTGAAATTATTGTGAAGCTTGGTACTCCATGTTTTGTTAACCACTTCAAAATGAGACTATGGGATGGGGATAACCGGTACGTACTAAAATATTATTTACAGTTTTAAGAAAATTCGTTGTAGTTCTTATTCTTATTACATTTCGGTTTCTCTTGATCAGACGTATTGGAGAACAGTTATCGACTACAGTTGTATTTGTTGTGGTTCAGACCAGGTCCTGTTTTTTAGTCAGCAGATGGCTCAGTATATAAAAATTGTAGGGACGCAAAATACAGCCAATCAAGTAAGAATATAAACAGTACTCAGGTCATTTATTTACTTTTAAATTAGGATTTTCACATCATATCCTTTGAAGCATATTTCAAAAGTGATATACCTACAATGAGAAATGATATTATTTGCCCCAATTACAATGTTGCAACTGTAGACAAGAAAGCGATTGTTATTGAAGGTGAAGGGTAAGCGAAAGAATACATGTAGAATAATAATAATAGTAACGATCATTTTCTAAGAGAATGTCTCTCCGACTTGTTTGATGGTTCTTTAGATCGCACTAATTGCTATCACAAAATAGACCATGGACATATTACAATACAACTAGGTACCTCAGTGCAATCTTAAATTTTTGTTTGTAAAAATTACTAATCTGCAGCTCAACCTTACATGATTTCAACAATGAGATTTTTATTAGATGATTGTTCTGATGCCAGACACTATAATTATTTGGTTGAAACTTCTATCAATTATTCAGATTGGGAGATTGCTGTTGATCGAAGAAATGAAAATTGCTCACTTTGGCAGAATCTTCATTTTGAAGAAAGGGCTGTGGTTTTCATTAGAATAACCGGAACTTACGACTCTTTACTCGACGTGAGTAACATATAATTTAATATTATTACAATGTTTGAGTGTTTGAACTTATAATGAACGATTTTCGCTTGCAAAATTCTAGGATTTTCTTATGTCGCACTTCGAATGTCCCTCCGAGATGAAGAATACTTAAATGAAAAATCTGGCTATTGCTAACATGGTGTTTACAAAACGCATGCTTTATATGACAAATAATAAAATAAATTTATCATACATGTTGTTTTTCTTACACATACATTTCAACTATAGGTTCAGTAAAAACAATTTGACTACATTTCTAACTACGTAGTTAGAGTAGTTAAGAAGTAGTTAAAGTAAGTATAAATAAAACAGTACTTAGCCAAAATATACATACAGTTTCCGACAAAAAATTTCAAACATCACTTTTCTGTCATGTCAAAAATTTTAATGTAGTCTATGCTTTATTCCTTATTGTCATTATTTCGGATAGCTGGAAACTTTAAAAATTCCAGCTTACGCTACAGCACATTCATATAAGTGTCAAATGTAAAAGTTAAAAATGACCGTAAAATATTTAGGTTAGAAACATCTAAAGGTTGCCTTACGCTATCTGACCACTGAGTGACATTGACGTCTGAAATTTTTTGGCGGCAACTGTATATGTATTAATAAAAATACAGATAAAGTACTAGGTATAATAACTTCACTTCCTACCATTAAAATATCTTATATTAATAACAACTCTTTGTTATCTTTTAAAAATTACAATAACTCGAACCTTTCGTCATTTAATTTAGTCCTTGATGGCCTCAGGATTTTGCAACCGGAACTAAAAGTGCTCTCAACAGGCGTTGATGACGTAAGTCACACATATTTCCTAAATATTTTTAAAATATTTGGAAAAATTTTTAACAACCTTACGTCTTTGTTAGATGATTGGAAATATTCTAATGCATACTTCTATATCTGAGAACTATTGGTGTTAGATATTTAAAGATTTTTTGACGACATAAAGTCATTTCATTTTAAATAATGAAGATTTTGGATCATGTCGCATATAACTTCAACATTAGTATATTGTTTGTAAAATTTTTCTAAAAATAAATCTTTGATAATCTGATATTTAACAGATTCCTGATTTTTATCAAGCCAATTCCTCTTAAAGACTGGTAACGAGACAGTTGCATAAATATAAGTCTTGCTCAAGATATTTTTAAAATCAAGTATATGTTAAAAGCGTGACTGAATATTAAATTGTAAAATGTTGTTATATCATTTTAATTTTTTTTTCCAAAAATCTAGATGCCCATGGTAAAAACTCATGACAGATTCATAAATCACATATATGTAAATTGTTATAATAGTAACATTTAGTATGCAAAATTTTGCGAGGATGTCAACATGTTTCTAGTTAGTGTTTTATCAATTTTACCACCTATACGATATTCCTAAAATACACATAAAATTTGATAATAATTGCTCCAATAGTTTCAGAGATGTTTAATAAATATCGATACGGACGACAAACGACTGAGAGATGGAAACGAGAGACCTATTTTTTCATATTGTGGCTGCTATGAAACTTCGAGAAAACCACGCATGGAGTCCTCAGTACCTTAAGATATGTTGTTAAATTTCACTTTAGGAATATACTTAACAGATGATTACTTACTTATAATTTAATTACTTACCTTTAATTTCATATATACGGGTTGTGATAATTATTTTTTTTTTTAGAGATTAACCATGTCTTTCTTAGATTTGGCTGATATACTGACCTTGAAAATTCTAGAATAAATAATCAAATTAGTCGAAGCAAGTTCAGTTTAAAACGTATACCAAGCAGCAAATAACAGATTTATCAAAAACTATAGTGAATCACCGATACTAATGTAGAGATTGTAGAATGTTGATTAAAAACTGTTTATTCTCAACCAACTTATAATTGGATTTTTATCCACACTTATGGACCCTTTTAACTAACATTTTATCCATTAGTGGAATAAAGTTAGTTTATTCCACTGCTACAAAGTAGTATGGATAATTAATAAAAATAATTAAACTTTATTGAATAATTACGTATTTACATTAACATTTATATTTAATATAACACACAGTTTTCGACAAATTTATGGGAACTGTGAATTTGTTTTTTTGCGCGGAACTAGAAAATTCCTATTGATTTTTTTCCTATATTCAGTTTATTCGTTTATGGAATCTTCAGGGATAACTTTCTGCTATTGCTGAAGCTCGTCTCATGCAGTGGCCTGTAGGTTTTTTGCGTTAGACATGTTTAAAAACAAAGCAACTTGAAAGGTAAGTATCTGCGCAGTACTTTTTTGATCCATATATCGTAGAAAGAAGCTTTGGATATAACAAAATGTACTTCTTACAAAGTCTAACAGCACTGATCGAAACCAATAAATATGAGAAAGTATTTTCTACGTCATCACTGTTATGTTTCATCAATTCACAACATCTACATACACCGGCGACTCCCAACCTAAAATAAATCAAAATTTAAACCTAACATTAACAAAAAGATAAAGGTTTACCTGAGTCATCAAATACTGTTCATCAGGAGGATTTGTCAGAAATTCTTCAATATTTCTCCGTTTTTCTTTACTTTGTATCTTTTAGAAAATATGACGGCATGACTTCCTCATTGATTACCGATACTTTCCATTTTTCGATCCACTTGTTAAATACAACAAATGCTTTTTCGTGATGTTCTTTAGACTTTTGGTAATAAACGCAGAGCTTTGGAGCTTTCTGAGTTTCAAATGCAGGTAGGTTTTTTTTTGTTAAATTCTTTGTAACTGTGGATAAAACAATTGTGAGAATACATTACTTTTATTTATTTTATATTTCAAAAACCTACAGTACCCTTTTTATGATAAGAATGATTACCTCATTAGATAATAAGTTAATAAATCTAATTATAAACCTAAAACATCTTCAACAATATACATAGAAGATAAAACATAAACCTAATCAATAACACTCGCTAAAACCATTGTAAAACACAATAAAGAAAAAAATCACTTCGATTATGAGTATGTCAAATGTTTGTTTTATTTGTCTTATTTTTTTCGACGAGCATCTTTCAGAAGTATTGGGAGCAAATTTTCTGATTATAAACTTAAAGTATTGTCAATAGTATAGAAATGACTGTTGCAATTCAAACTTTATTCGAGTAGCTACATGCGGGGTTATGATAAATTAAAAAAAATGTCAAGTTTTTTATTATACTCTCCATGCTGCGATGAAATTCTGGTGGTCCGGAATCTCGCTGATAACGTAAGGGGGCGGCGTACCTCGGTGTCAAGCCTTGGGCCAAGTAGTGCCGCTGAAATAGAAACACGTCTGTCCCACCAAGGGTTATGCGGACACCTTCACGCCACTGGGGGAGGCTTGGGCGCCAGCGTTGGTGTTGCTCTCAAGCATCTCAGGTGTGAGCACCCACGAAAACAAAAGAATAAAATAAAATAAAATAAAACGGAAAGAAATATTTTACAATAAATCGGGTTTATTTCCTGCCACCAATTACACGGCTAAAATATATCTTACGGCTAAAATTAACTTAAATAATTACAAAACGAACTTTACAAAAGAAAAAAGAATAATAGTCCAGCACGGTGGTTCCCTCCGAGTCGGCGACTTCCTTCAGGACGGGCTCCTCCTGGACTTGGAGGCAGCGAGCTTGAAACGGGAAATCGCGTGCTTGACGGTTTCGACTTCTGACGGTAACGACAACAACAGTGATGATGGTATGAGTTTTTCGGGCTCTTTGGCGCGCTTCAGAAACGCCACGGGGTCGCTCTCTTCATCGAAACGGATACGGCCCTTGCGCACCAGGTCCAGGGATCCCAACAGGTGTCCCGCTGGTGTGCGTAGCAAACCTGGACCCAGTGTCGGTGCCGGTGGTGGCACGAGAGACGGACGCTTCGGCAGTGACGGTTGCAATTCTCTGATTGGAGACGGCGCGGTTGGTTTCGAGGCTGTCGGTGGGGGCAATGGAGAAAGACAGGGCGGTTCCCGGTACGTCAAAGTACTTGGCTCGTCGATGCGGCTTCTGGGGGCCTCACCAGAGGCGGGACGAGTACGTTTCATCGGGACGGCAGTCCGTGACGGTAGGTAGGTACTATTTTAATCGGAGATAGTTGTAACGGTTGTCTTTACTAAAACATTCGAAACAGTGTTAAATTTCATTTAGGTATACAGGTTGGACAAAATCACTTCCTTTGACAGGATCTGCTTTTATCAAACTATCAATTGCAGACGACATATTCGACACATTACAGTAAATCTTTACTCGCTAAAACCATTGGAAAACACAAAGAAAAAAATCGATTATGAACATATCAAACGTTTTTTCGTTTTTAAATAAAGCTAACGAACATGGGATAGGTGAATTACGACACATTTTGCCTTATTTTTATCCATGAACAACTCCCAGATATATTGAGAGCAAATTTTCTGAATGTTCTAACGCAAGTAAAGTGCTATGCATTCTATTATTTTTGATGCAAGGGTTGTATTCCAGAAATCCAGTGTTAAATTCCTGAAGAGTAATTCTTTCCTGCGGAGGAAATCGATGATATTAAAATAATGAAAAACTGTTGTAAAGCTAACGAAGATATTGGCAATTTAGTTACAGAATGTGTTCGGTTGGTTAATGGAGGATGAAATTGTGAATATTGTCTATAAAGTACCTAGTAAATAACGTTCGATTTTTGAATGCCATGGCGAAAATTAGAAATAACAGTTCAAAGGAGGAACAACGCGAAATACCAAAAAGTAATTATGATTTGTTAATTTAAGATAAGAAATACTGATGAAACGTGATTTTTACGTTTTTGATAAAAAGTAAATATATTGCTGTAGGTGCACACAACGCTAAAGAAATTTCTGGAATACACACAGCAATGTCACTAGAAGAAAATGAAAAAGAAGAATACGGTGCTTCCCATGCCGAGAACTGTAAAAATGAATCAGGGCGAATAGATTTTTTAACCACGTGAAAATGGAGATACCAGGTTAAATACTGATATGCTTAAGAAGTTCCAGTAATGTTTTAATTTTAAATCACACAATCCCTCCTACTACATATAAAATTCAGATGACCTAGAAAAGTGGCACAACCTTATAGATTACAGTCAATATGGTTACTGTTATGTTCAGAAATTATAATTTGATTAACAAAAAGCTAAATATATTCAAGTGATGTGTCCAAAAGGTAAATGCTGAGA